GCATCAGTAAGCTAAAGCGAAAATTGCCCAAATCCTCGACGGCTTGCCGGTCAGCGGACATACCTCAAGGGTTTAGGGTTTAGGGTTTAGGGTTTAGGGTTTAGGGTTTGAGGTTTAGGGTTTAGGGTTTAAGGTTTAGGGCTTAGGGTTTAGGTCAAGGTTTCATGAACCCGCTCTAGCCGCTCAACATAGCGGGACCGCTCTTCAGAACCCTACACCCTAAAACCTAAAACCCTAAACCCTACCCCAGTAAGAGCCCTAATACGGACCCCAAGTAAGAACCCTAATGGAATAAGGACACCCCAAATAAGAACCCTACTAAGAACCCAATAAGAACCCCTCATGCGAACCCCACGGAGTACGCAGAGACTCCAAAATCCTCAGAAAAGCCACATGCGTTCAAACCACCATCATCAAAAGTCTAAATATTACCTCGAAAGAACATGTGTGTATTCCTTAATTGAACTCTTTTGGCGTCTGGGTCCTAGCCCTGAGTCCGCAATCCCTAACCCTGAACTCTGTACCCTGAAGCATCATAAAACAAAAACCTTTTTTCAAGCACATGTAATCGAAACCTAAGCCCCAAAGCACAAAACCTGACAACCCTCATAGAACCATCTAGAACCCATACAAAAATAAACTCAGGGACGCTTATAGAATGCTGATAAGACTCCTCAAACCGAGAGCCAGATCAGGGCCAAAGCTCTAGGGCTCGAGGTTGAGGGTTCAGGGCGTAGGATGGGCAGCAGGGGATTTAGTAAGGTTTAGGGTTTAGGGTTTAGGGTGCAGGATCGTGGGAGATGGAGGAGGGGAGGACGAAGAGGAGGCGGAGGCGGAGGAGGAGGAGCCGGAGGAGGAGCCGGAATGGGTTAATGGGTTCGCCGACCCTGGCACATATGGGGTTCTATAAGGGCTCCACAGAGGTCCATAATGCCATGCGCGTTCTATAGCGTAAGGGCCGTGCAAATGAGAGCGTGCAGTGCGTGGTCTGCGTCTGCAGCGCAGATCGTATTCAAATGAATATTCTCAACACCAGCAGGGATTGGCAGTGCGCCGACTGCAAATGGTATCAGTTCGAAGGTGCTCTGACCAAGGCCTGGAATGCCCGCAGTGCGCTATTGTACAAAGCTGCGAAAACTTCGGGAATACTATACAAGCTGAAGATTTATGGCTTGAGGTTGAAGCTTCAGGGTTTAAGTGCTTTGTGATGTTTTAGGGACCCTTCTCGCGGCTTGAGGTTCAGGGTGTAGGCTGGTTTGGATTTTAGTATGGCTGAATTTTTGGTGTGACGGGGGCGGTGCAAGCTGGGTCGATGGAAGTTGACAATTGAGGGTTTGAGCTAGGAGTTGAGTGCTGATACGGCTCAGGGAGGGCGGCCACGATCAAGCATCGGGGTGGACGTGGCAACTTGTCTTCGGACGGGGTTCGGGTTTATTGAGGGTTTTGGAATCTTGCCTTTGTGTTCCAAGGTCCTGCAGATTGAGGACTCGGCTTAGAGTTTGGGGCTTTTGGGGGGTTCGGGTTTAGAGGCTTTCTTCTCAGCCCAAACCCCAGTTGATGAGGCTTATGAGTTTAGAAAATAACTACTTACTAACTCCCCAGGCCATTCAAGCAAACCGCCGGGCCTCGGCGTTTGAAGGAAATCTCGAAGAGTTGGGTTGGCAGCTCAGGGGCTCGGGGGTGGTAGGGCTTCGGTTTAGAATTCAGGGGGCATAGGGCTTAAAGGCTTAGGAGTTTAAGGTTGAGTTCAGGGTCGCTCTGAGGCTTGAAGGGAAGCTGGGAAGGTCGTTAAGCCTGCGGAAACAGCGAAAACTGAGTAGATGTGTTGCATATACGAGACACCAATGAAACCCTCTTCAGCCTTTCCTGCAGAAGTTGTTTAAAGGCATCTGGAGGTGAATGCTTCGGAGAGTAATGGTTGAGGGCTTCGCGTGTTATGCTGTAGGGTTCGAGGCTGCAGGGTTCAGAGCGACGGCTCAGAGTTTTTTGGGGCCTTCACGGTTGAGGGGCGGCAGCACCGAGCTTTGCTAGAGGCCATAGGACCTTCAACCCTCAACCCCACACCAGAGCTTGCAGCTGATACTGTCCTGCCAGACCACTTAAAATCGTTGAAATGGCACGGAGGCAAAGGCAGATGAGGGGTTCTTAAAGTCAGGGGTACGGGTACGGCTGACGTTGGTTTTCAAGAGTCCTGGTGGATATTTCAGTCTATATAATTCCTAAATCCTCAAGCTGGCGCTAGTTTGGATCGCTGGATAGACTGACATCCCGACACAGCGAGAGAAGCTTCTGTAGTACATGGACCAGATTCATGAAGCAAGAGCCCCAACAAGGCCGAGGAGGCCCTTAGAACAGTTCTTACGCTGTCCGTTTTGCTTAGAGCACCCTAGAGGGCTCATCTGCTGCGCATGAGTCTGTCAACAGCTCGTGAGGTTCACCCGGGCGTGCTTTTGGGGATGTACTGGGGCCATGCTACCCTAAACCCTAAAGCCTAGGTTCAAGGGCTTCCATCGCCCCTTGGGCCAATCAAGCAGCCTGAGCGCCGGCAGGGCTTCTGTTTTGCTGCTTGTGGGGCTCACACCGACAGCCCACGGAAACCTCTGGCTTCCTACTCTTCCACAACACCTTTCTCCCTCGTTCTCTCTCTCTCTCTCTTTCTCTCTCTCGCTCTCGCTCTCTCAGAGAAACCTCGGTCTTATCTCCAAAGACAGCCAAAAGTTGACAGACCCAGACGCTTGCAACAACTTGCGCCCACTATAGTTAGACCCCGAACCTCGCAGGCAAAACACTCGGCTGTCAGAACCCGGAACCTTTACAATCCGTCCCTGGTGTCAGAACATGAGCCTGATATGTGCGCAAACGGACTTTTGTTGCTCAGACAGCTTGGCCGCTCGCAGAGAAGCAGAGCTGTGGCAGCCAGCTCCTGCCATTTTTGCAGCAGCTTCTAGCATAACCCTAAAGGCCCTATACCCTACCTTGTCTCAGGTTTGTGGGTTTGTGTCGTCGGGCTGAGGGCTTCGACAGCACTGCGGCCAGACCTCAGGGTTCTCGGCGCGGTCGGGATTGTGTAAGCTTATGGCAGGTTCAGTGTTTGGGGGGTTGCGGGGGGTTGGGAGGCCTTGGGGAGTAAGAGCTTCGTTTTGTGGGGCAAGGCCACGGGATGAACCCTGCACGACAGAAGACTTAGCCACAAAAACAGTCCTAAACCCTAGACACGAGCCCCATCTCTGGAAAGGCCTCAACGACCCTAAGCCCTTTCAAACTCAAGTTGCGTAGGAGGTTTGGATTGAGTCAGGCTCCTTGCTAGGAGTCCGTTTTATGATAGACCCGAAAGTCAAAATCCAGCCGTAAACCCTAAACTGAAATGGATTCCAGGGGAGTTCACGGCAGAATGACCCCACAAAGGCAACCGGCAAGCAGGAGCTACGTGGTGTCGGACTGAAGTACTAACATAGCAGCCTCAATAATGCAAAACGGGCTTTGGATCATATTACAGCTTGACTAGTCGGAACAAGAAGGGGGTACAATTCCCGGCTATTTGGGTGCAGGGTGGTATTTCCGGCTTCACGGCTTTCGGGTTTAAGGCTTGCGAACTTTCTGGCTTGGGGGAGTGCGCACCCTAAAGACGTAATCGACATCACCGGGAACCCCCAAATGCGACAATCCCCAAAAGTCAAGACTCTGAGAGCACCAGAGCCCACAAAACCTGAATCATGAAACATAATGCCGGCCGGATTTACAGTGCGGATTTCGGATCCTGGGAGATACAGGCAAGCCCAAACAAACCCTGGGTTGAGAAAACCGTCTGCTCTGAATTGAAAAACACCCTTCGCGCCTGCAGAAGCGACAAGAGAACTCCGCTGGCCTGTCGGTATACCCTTAAACCCTGAAGCCCTAAATCATGCAACCCTTGAACCCTTAAGCCCTATGAACCCTACTTCGATGGAGTGCGCGCTTCTTGCCTTACAGCCGGGCCGAAGCCTTATTCCGGGGATTCGGGTCGCTGTTTAGGGTGCTGGGGTTTAGGGTTCCGGGTTCTGGCATTAGGGTTTGGGGTTTAGGGTTTGGGGTTCTGGATCTGAGATTGAGGGCTCAGGGTTTGGGGCTTGTTATTTGGGGTTTGAGCCAAAGGAAGATACAAAGAAAAACATAATACTAAGGCCTTAGCTGTACGCGGCGTGGGCTTTCTAGGTAAGAAAAGACAAACAGCCGAGAAAGCAGACATCTACCAAAAATAAAAACAACTCAGCTTCCAGAAGACAGTAACTCAGCAAAAAACAGGCCGCGAAACGCCAATCGAAATGCAAGCTATAAGTGAACTCACCACACTTTGAACCCCCCTGCATTTGCTGATAACCTGGAACCCCGAAAAACCGAGAAATGTTGGGAACACGCGAACGCACAGGAGGCCGCTGCACCTCCAAAAGTAAACCCCCATGCACACGCGGTGTGTGGTGCACGTGAACAGCAGCACGATTGAAAAGCGAGCCACAGCATCAGCGACCCGAAGGTAGGCCGAGAAAGGCCAGAGCGATAAGGAGCCACAACGACAGTCAGGGGGCACGCGGGGCAGGGTTTAAAGACTGGTGGGGTGCCGCTGAAGGACAACCTTGCACTGCGGTCCCACCTGCGCAAATCATACCCCCGGCGAACCTTAAACTTCGGGAATCAACGATCCTATCCAAACCCCATATGGGGACCCCGAACCGTGCACACAAATCCAGAACCCTTAGACCCACAACGAAAGATCCCACAGCCCTAAACACCAACAACACCTTGAGACGGAATCCGCCAAAGGTGCAACAGCCGGAGGAAAACCTTGACACCTCAATGCGGAAGACAACACAACAACCGTCACCCTCTGTTCTGATGGCTTAGGGTTTACGGTTGTGGGCTTCGGGAACCTTAAGACTTGAACCTGAAAGCCCAGCCCTACACCCTCCTCGCTGCTCTTCTCACAAGCAGCCAAAGGAGGGCTGAGCGCAACCACGCCCCACGAGCTAGACCTGCGCAGCGAGGTGGAGTTTGGGTGTACGAAGTGTGCTAGGTTGGACTTGGAACTTAGGCTGCGAGGCTTCAGTTTAGAATTCCCACGACTCTTCTTCTTCAAGGCGCGAGAGAGTGCGGCCGGAGGCCAGTTAACGAGTTACAGCGGGGTCTTCCCGCTCGTCCCCAAAAGGGGGAAAAGAGTGTCCTAAAGGCTGCCGTTTGGCAGCCTCACCACGCTCTAGGAGCTGGTGCTACTGCCTGGGCAACCCATGGCACTTTTGTCACCAAGCCTAGTCCAGAGGCTGGACCTACAGCCTGGTGACACCACGGCTTGGGAACCCCTAGGCTCAGTGAGCAGGGTCTACCTGTGCAGCGGCGAGCCCGCAAGCAGCAACCAGGTGCCACGGACCACAAAAGGCACTGGTAGACTAAGCCCACTCGGGCCCTACCTGCAGCTGGGAAGCCCAAAGCTGCAGGAGCCTTAGGGCTTGTGGTCAGAACCACTAGCCTTAGCCCTCTGCTTCAGCTTGGACTTGCTGGGGTTGCGAAGAGGAACCATGCCCCACTGGTGGCCAGCCTCCAAAGAATGGAAGGTGGCATCCCATAGGACGAACTGACACAGCTGCCCATCAGGGGAAACACCAAAAACCTGAGTGGAGACGAGGTTGTC